AGGTGAGTGCCCACCTTGGAGAAGCACCCCCTGCTGTGGGCACAGGTAACACAGGTGAGGTGACACAGGTGACACAGATAACACAGGTAACAAAAATGAGGTGACACAGGTGGACAGGGGGTGACAGGAGGTGCCCCAGGTGTGCCCACCTTGGAGAAGTAGCCCACCATGTGGGCACAGGTAACACAGGTGAGGTGACACAGGTGACACAGATAACACAGGTAACAGAGATGAGGTGACACAGGTGGACAGGGGGTGACAAGAGCACACAGGGGGTGACATGGAGATGATCCAGGTGCCCCAGGTGTGGCCCAGGTGTGCCCACCTTGGAGAAGTATCCCACGATGTGCGCCCCGTGCCGATCCACCTCGGTGAGCAGGTAGAACACGAAGGGCTCCACGTCGAAGTAAAGGGTCTTGTGGTCCAGGAAGAGCTTGGCCAGCAGGCACAGGTTCTGGCAGTAGATCTGCCCGGGGCACAGGTGGGCACAGGTGGGCACAGGTGTGTCCCACAGGTGTGTCCCCCCCTCCCCAGGTGTGACCCTCCCCCCCCAGGCCGTACCTTGTGGTCCTTCCCGTCCACCTCGTAGACGGAGATGTTGCTCTTGCGGTAAATCTCCCGCCCCGGCGGCTGCCGCCACTGGCACTGCCCCTGCACAGGTGGGCACAGGTAAGGGGGGCACAGGTAAGGGGGGCACAGGTAAGTGGGCACAGGTAAGGGGGGCACCCAGGGTGCAGCCCGGGTACCCCCAAGGGGGTCCGAGTGTGCCCAGGTGTGTCCCAGGTAAGTCCGGGTGTATCCCAGGTGTGTCCCAGGTGTGCCCAGGTGAGCCCCAGGTAAGTCCAGGTGTGCCCAGGTGTGTCCAGGTGTGCCCCAGGTAAGTCCAGGTGTATCCCAGGTGTGTCCCAGGTAAGTCCGGGTGTATCCCAGGTGTATCCCAGGTGTGTCCCACCTCCTCCAGGTCTATCCCACCTCTCCCAGGTGCCCCCAGGTGTGTCCCACCTCCCCCAGGTGTATCCCAGGTGTGTCCCACCTCCCCCATGTGCATCCCAAGTATATCCCAGGTGTATCCCAGGTGCGTCCCAGTTCCCCCAGGTGTATCCCAGGTACGTGCCAGGTATCCCAGGTATATCCCAGGTGCCCCCCAGGTGTGTCCCACCCCCCCAGGTGCCCTGCAGGTGCGGGCAGGTACCAGGTGCAGGCGGTAGGTCCTCTCGAACTTCATGTACTTGAGGCAGAACTCGCAGATCCAGAGCTTGGGCTGCTTCCCGTAATCCTCCGGGAACGGGGAGAAATACCAGGCGTCGATCTCAAAGTGACCGATGTGGATCTTGTCCACGTACTTCACCTTCGTGATCTGCACACACAGGTGAGACACACCTGGGACAGGTGACACACACCTGGAGTACCCTAAACTGACCCCAAACTGACCCCAAACCCC